AAAATAATTTTAAAGATATTATCATTTTTTCTTATATTAACTGCATCTATCGTGTCAGAAGGCAACCAATTCCAAAGGCTGACTACCTTGTTACAAAAATAAAACTGTCTTGGTTGAGGACGACTGCTATTTTGCCAAAATTTGTGTGTTCCCTAGTCTTACTATTTTCACCTTTAAGAACAAAAAAAGATGATGCATCAACTGCCTTAATAATCATAAACATTTGAATTCGATCCCTTCTAACTATTTTCTTTTTCAGGTGAAAACAATTTTGGAAATCTCAAAAATTCAATTGATATTTAAAATATAAAGAAAATGCCAGTGAAATTATTCAATTTATTGTTAAGGGAAAATATTAAATTATATAGTTATTAAAATATGAATGCTTTGATGTACTCTTATGAATTTACTTTCATATTATTTGCCTTTAAGAAGAAAACTTAGTAATTATAAATAACTTTAATGCCACATTCCCAAAATGTCATGATACTATGATCCCCCTTTTAGTACAAAAACACATTCCCAGCTATAGGTGTTTTGGTTAAGCTGTTTTGAAATTTTCTTTAACTCCGTATTTATGACTGAAATGGTTATTCAGTTAGTATCTGGTATCCAGCCTGTTTAGCCTTTTCACTGCATATCAATTCTTATTAGGGAGCATGATAGCTGAAATTGTCAAATAATTTAAGAAATATAAAACCTAAAACCTACTATAGACTAGGAAGTTACATATATTTATAGATAACAAACTAATGCACAGAAGGTCAATTAATTAATTTTTTTTTTCAGAAATTAAATAGTAAAAACACTAATAAGTTGGATTTTTAAAAGCACAGAATACAAAAATTATTAAACTCAGTTATAAGTAAAGAATGTTTAGTGTTCATATATATCTATTTAAATCTGATAGTTTTCAGATCAAATTATCCTACTTTTTTATGTCAAACAAACCAATCTTATCACACTTACTGACTTGAAATAATTTTAACAGTTAACATAGTATTACTCCTTAGGCAATAATCTTTATCAGTCTTTAGAAACCCTAGTGATTAATTCCTTTATAATTCTAAGTTTTAATATAAATCAATGTTTTCTTATTAATTCCCGACTTATCTATCAGTTGTCACAAAAAACATTTAATACCCTAGGTGTTTTTTTTTTGCATTATTTTGAAACTACGCTCACATTAGTATATTACATTAAGCTAATCACTTATTTACTGAATGCAGACTGCAAAATCTTCTTTAATATTACTATTACTCACTCAGATATCCCTTTACAAACTTTAATGTGTCTTAAGAACAGTAGTAGCTTTTTATTTTGTGAAGTCAACTAATTTCTCTTTATATCATAAACATTGTTAACTCATGTGAACACTCACTAAACACTATTGGCTGCAGCTTATAGGAATGTTCATACTAAGATACTACTGAAAATGTGGCTTTGTTCAGTTTCTACCACAATAACAGATTCAATTTAAAGAGGTAAACCAATATTAGTTTCACTGATGATAGCAAATTTTGTCATGACCTGTTTGACCAATATTATTAATTTTGTACTGCATGAAGATATTTCGCTACAGCAATACAGAGTCATTTGTCTTCTACTATAAATTTTAACAAGTGGTGGTGCTAATGGCAAAGTCGTCTTTGTCATTTCATTTACATTCTATTACACTTACTTTAGAAATTGAGATTGTCAATTATTT